ACCTTAGTTCTTACATAATCAAAATGAAATATTACACATAAACGATATCGGTTTGCAAATATGTACATTGTAATCGAAACAATATGTTTAATATAAATTTATTATTTTATAGATCAGACATCAGACTTGCCAGAATAAATTGTCGGCATCGGTTTATGCACGAACGCACTTAGTTCTGATTTTCCTATCTAGTACGAAGGAAACGATGCTACCGTTAATTAAGCTTCGAGCATAGACAAAAATCGCTACTTTCATATTAGGGTTTTACAGAACGTCTATAATTTCTGCCTGCGCAACGTCCCACTGATCCACTAATGATTAAATACCCATATCCGGAAAAATTATGTGTGGCTTACAGAAATCGAATCCCCGTGCGGGAATCGAACCCACTACCCCCGCCGCCGATATTAATAGCTTTAAAACTGCGCCATCGAGACATTTTAATAGGTCTTCCTGTGAAAGACGTATTAGTCACAACGCCGAAAATTGGCATCTGCACAATCAGAACATGCTTGCCGGAACATTGACTCACAATCGAAAGCCATGAAGCCGTGATAGATCAGTGTCGCGGCGCTCGCCTTTAATTTAATATACTCGAACAACCTGAGTTCCATCCCCGGTGCCAGCACCCATGAATTTGTTAATTTTAAGTGCTGAATTATCACGTACAAATTTTCGAAATAATAACAAAATAAATAATTCGAAGATATGTGAAGTCCCCCAATCCGCAGAGGGGCCGCGTGGTGGACTATGCCCTGATACCCTCTGTACAGAAGAGGCCTTTGCCCAGCAGTGGGACATGAATAGACTGATATTTTACTAAAGCCATAACTCAAAATTCCAGTATTTTTCTTCCGATCTGTTACCATTTTAGGAATTTGATGGGGTAAGGAAATTAAAAATTAGACATGTGAACTAAATAACTGTAAGAAATGTGTTAATTTACAATAGTGTGATTGTTCAGTAGAAACAGTGTAATAAACCAGTCATATCTTTGCTTTAGACACTACTGGACTTCAAACCAACAGCTGACATAGACATTTCTACGAGTCTCGGCTTGCAATATATCAAAAGCCGTATTTACTTGATACTACCACAAGTGTCAGTCGGGTGAGATTGTTGACCAGCCTTACGTTGTATCAAATAATGAGCGTATTCCGTCTTAAAGCCGGCAATGTTATACAAATAAAGTTTTATGAATGTCTATTGCACTTTATATGCATCGTATTGACAATACAAGACATTATTGAATTTTAATATACTGACTTTCCTTATGAATACTTGTTATACAAAAATTTCTGTAGTAAATACAAAATATAATCTCTTGTGCCTAATTTGGTAAATGAAATTTCTACTTCGATCCACTTTTTTAGTCTCAAATAAATATTGTCCAATTTCTGTGCACGGGCAAAACTATTATGTAGTTATTGAACGTAAAACAATCTGCTTGTTAACGTGCCAGCCGGTACGATGTTTATAGCGTTGAATGTTACTTATTAAAAAGTCTAAGATTGCTGTTTACATGTTTTGAACCCCCTGTGGTGACGGAAAATGAGAGCGTTTAATGTCACAGATCCCGGGCGCCGCGTCAGCTTTTTAATTACTCTTTTATGTCGGATCTAAGCTTAGTCTGCCAACTCTTTCTTTATCACATACTAAAGATTTTAACAACGGTACGTTTCATGACAGTCTTTTTTGTATCTTTTTAATAAAGTGGTAAAGAGCAAAGACGACATTGTTTCGTCATTGATTAAGTTGCGCGTAAGTCAAGCGGTGTGCGATGCCCACGTAACAATGCGCGCAAGACGCGAACATCTGCGCCCCACTTAGCCCAAGGCCGATGCATCCTTTTATCAGGCATCGATACCAATAACGAAGGGATCCCCGTTTGGTGATGATTGACGCCGTGTTTAGACTATCGCGAGCCAAACAAAGGGTGTTGCGTTTGGCTAAGATGTGAGATAACAACATTTACGTCCGAATATATCATTGTTCAATGTTATACATGCACCGTTATGCACGTTTGTTATTTTAATTAAATTTAACTGTTTCAATTGTCTGTCCAATAGCTACATTATTGGTTATGATAACGATTTTATATAGGATATATATATAAAGATTTGGATTCGTATCAAACGAAAGTCGGGTTTCACTAAGTGAGCGTACAAAACTTTGAAGTCGTGATTGAACGTTTCTATAGAGCCTTTTCACATCCGCTTCAGAAGGAAGGTAATAGCTACCATATAAAACCTTTTACGGTGCTCCACACTATCTGCGTCTTAATCTACAACTGTTTTAAGAGGTGCTTTGTTTCACGTTGTTAATGCGCGTGCTTTATGATTGTGTCACAAAAGGTCATTGCACCGTGGCGCACCTTCGTAGCGGTTATAAATACGCGCCGTGTGTCGAACTTTTGACAGGCGGGTAAATAAACAGCGCGCATCGGATGCGGACCCGGCAGCGCGTGGAAGTTTACGGCCCTGGTGTAACACCGGCTTTATGGATGTGGATGGACACTATGATAACCGTTATAAAATTTCGTCTCAAATCGGGGTAACATACTATTTGTAAGCATTGAGCGACAACAAATATAGGTATAATTATGAATAAAGTTTAATTGCAGTATTAAAACTCTTTCACTAATACTTCTGCGATTTTCTTTTGTGATTATTCCGCTGAGTCACCGTACCAGGATAAAATAAGCCTCACTTAAATTAGTATTAAATAATATGGTATTAAGAAGTTTTATTGTAACACGCAATGATAAAAGTTCCAACAGTATTTTGGTAAAGTTATTAATTACAATGTCACAAATGAAAAACCTAAATTAATAAATAGAATTTGTCATGTTCATTAATCCAATGAAAGTTACAATTAACTAAATTATCTTTTTCTTGAGTTTTATCAACTGATCGCGTCCTTATTTAAAATGAAAAAGTTCACTTACTTTAATTGTTACTAATTACTAATAATCCTTCTGTTTATAAATTTTTCAATCTCACTCTTGACTGTGACACATATTAGCGCTGTGTATAACCTAAAAGAATATCTTATGCAACATATTAGATGTAAGAAAAATAATTCTATCGTGTATTATCACCGATATTGGTAATTTTTGGCAATTGTCTAAGCCCTAGAGTATAAGGAATTAGACTCGTTACTATATAAGGTACTTATCCTATCTTTATTTATGTAATAATTTAAAAAGTCGTAATATAAAAGGTTTGATTACAAATAAATGTTAAATTCATGAGTAAATATTTGTATGTTTAAAAAAACAGAAGTCAATTATTACTGCTCCAATGTGCTTTCGTCACATTACTAACGATGGGTTGTTTATTATATTTCAAACGTTTTGAGTTCAAAGGAATGCTAGGAACAGGATGTGTTCTATTTTATACCTTCCCATTATACCGTCCTTCTGGAAACGACAGTTGCACGAAACATGTCAAGTTAAGAAATCCTTTATTAAATAATTTGCGAATAATGTACTTATAGCAATATGTCTGCCTTATTTTACGAACATCCTTTTAATTGATGACAGTTTTTAATCTCTTGTAATTGGTTAAGTGAACGCAAATGTCATCGATGCACACATGATATTAGTTTATTTGAAAACATCGTGGTCTCATTGGTTGGTTTTTTTCTTATAGATAAAAATATCATCGTTAATACCTTTTTAATTATGAGTATTGTTGCCATTAAAAACCAAGGATATTTATTTTTTATTAACATTAAAAGATTTAATTAAATTTTATCGTATAGAGATTAAAAGGAGAGCTAAAAAAATTGAATTCAAACATATTTAGTTCCTGCTTTGATTTATGCTAAGTTATACTGTTAGATTTCAATAAATATGGTTCGGGTCCTACTTATTACCAGTCATTGTCTTGACTTCAAATGGTACATACGTACCGACTATCCCTTTTAATGTATTCGTTTTGTGGCGCCCACACCACGAGGCAAGTATGCTGATAAAATAAACGTCGTTCAGTACTGTTTCTGAAATTCATTTTATTGCTAAATAGGGCTTGAAGTCACAATTTCACTATGCTGTCTGATCACTTCAAAGCGAATTTTAATAAAATTTTAATAAATTTCATGTTCAAGTTTAATTTTCTTAAGGTACTACTTACTTGAACGTAACAAATCGTGTTTATGGTCTCTAAAATTTTATTCATGCAACCAGTCAACCACAATTTCGTTGTCTTTGGAATTAACTCGACACAAACAGAATAAAAACATTTATTTGTCGTCAAAGAGAGGGAAGAGAACTTAATGCTGATAAGCATTTAATATAAAAAATAGTAACTTTTGAAGGTCAAATTTAGTTTTTAGTAAGTGCTTTATGAACGGAACGTAATTAAAGATTGCGTCTTATATGATTGATTGGACAGTTCGTGAATTGTTTTAAAACAACAGACGGAATATAATTTTTCGTCTTGTACGATTTTTAATAATAACTATTTAGTATGAGGAATTTACTTTTAGGAAGAATTAAGCTTTTGGTAATAAGAGCTAGCGAGACTTGTTCGGATAATTCAGACGTCAACCCTTTAGTGGCGCGTAGCGATATTGTTCGCCTGTGTCTGGGACCCAGTGCGTCGCGACGCCCCGTGAAGCAAACGTGGGCGGTGGCGCCGAGCGCACGAGTAAATATGCCCAGATGGTCTACAAACACGTCCATTCACACGCGAGCTGTGGTGCGCGACCAGAATATACCTGTTCGTATTATATTCTCCTTAAGCGGGCAGTTCGCGGCAGGTCACGCACGGGTGGTTGTCATCACTCTTTGTGTCACCATTTTTAACTACGAAGGGAATATTAAGGGAGTTGTGGCGTGTTGCAAAGAATCTTAAAGTTTCTGTTTATTTGACGAATACGTTGTATGTTTTCGTAAGAGTTACTCAGAAGTCTTGTAGTCACCAAACGCTTCGGTAGTGGTACAATGACGCCTGTTCGGAACGAGCTCCAAATAATGGATTTTATTGAGTGACATCATGATACCGACCTGCATAAGAGCACCTAGATCCATCCAAGGCTCTACGGATGATGTTACGCGCCAGACTCGCTCGATTGTACAGGTAACTGTTTTAAAAATATTTTTTTTTTACAGGTCCTATATAGTAAATAGGTGATGGACTGAAAACGCTTTGGTATTGAAATTTCTAACATATGTGTAAAATATGACATTTTTAACAAAAAATAAAAAAATATTCTGGTTTATATAACGTATTAATAGTAATATTCATGACACCGATGGTATTTTATAGTAACTTACGGCAATGAGACATAAGGTACTTTTGTTTTATTGTTGCAGCCATGTCAGTTGTTGTCGCGGAGTAATATTGGTTGTTATTACTCAGCTCCCTCGTTCTGTTCGATTCCAAGACCCTGAGATTTCACATCTGAAGGTGCCATTAAAGCAATGGGGTCATGACTTGTGGCAACACCACGCCACCGCCATGCGTCCGCCCGCTCAGCTATATTAAAAGCTCGACCTCAATTAGCTTCCGCGCCTTGTGCTTTTAAGCTCCCACCTACCTTCGAACTGTTGCGTACAGTAAACAAACTAGCGGTGCCAATGCATATATTTAAATATATGGATTATATTATATGCAGTTTCATCCTTTTTCACATATTCTAGTTGACAAATAGGTGAAAGGCATCACACTAAAATCTTTTTAGCGAGAACTTCAATGCCGTAGTAGAATTTATATGAAAAGGGGAACTTTATCTACGATTTCATAAATACATTTATGTTCATAAAAATTTTTCAGTAAAATGTCTTTCAAACTTAATATTTTAGAACGGTTCATATTACTGTGTTTTCTACTGTTAATTATAGCACAAGAACTATCTAATGAAAAAAGTATGAAATAATGGAAATATAATTTGATTTTTATTTTTTTTTACAGTACTTTCTTCCATTTGACTTTTGTATAAGAGTAAAAAGTCTAAACCAGTCACTGTAAATAACATAATTGTTGATTAATAAAGATGAAAATTTTGTGTATGGTCAATTGGCTCAATCTAGACTAATAGCTCTGTTAAATATTACGGGCAATAGAGTCATTTGCATGTCTTTGACCCCGGGTCGAACTTGGGTTAGATTCATTTGCAAGTAGTCATTCGCGTATGGTAAATGTTGATTAAGCGATCCAATAAATCTGCGTGCCCGAGAGAATTAACCGCGACGAAACAAATGCTACCCGTTATTTTGTTAATTGGCGAAATTAATATTTATCACTTTATTTTTCTCATTTTCTGTATCATGGTGTGTCGAGATATCAATAGTAGAATAAGGAAATTAATATAAGTAACACAGATGTAAGTTTTCTGTTAATAAAAATGAAGTAATAGATGTTTTATCTATGAAAATAGCACCTTGCCAAATAGCTTCCGTTACAGGAATACAGCTCGACATTAGCCTCACAGCAGATCGGCGTGGTGAAAAATCGTTTACACTTTTAAGTTTAGTCAAACGAGCGGTTGGTGCAAATCGCTACCATTTTTTCGGACGTAAATGCCCATTGGCTACGGTCTTCACTTGCCACCAGTTTGATCGCATGCTTAGCTCCAAACGATGACTCCGTGGGGCAGTTGTCAAGGCTTCAACGCTTGGGGTCGTGGGTTCGATTCTCACATGAGACAATTATTTGCGTTATCCACAGTTAGTGGTTCCGTATCTGTTTGTTTTTCCTTGTGAAATTTATGTCTGTTAAACGTTAACGTTAAACTGTAATAAAATTTTGGGGCAATGTTGGAGCAATGTTTACAAAAAAAAAAACCTTTAAATAATATACCATATGAATGAATGATAAAAAAGAATATAAATTGTGGTTCAGTTTTATCCGTTTAAATGTGCCAACTCACATTTTATATTATACTTTGAAAAAATTTCCGTAATAAATTCTAAAATAAGTAAAATTACCGAATCGAAATCGAATATATGTAAAATTTGAAAAAAAGTAGAAATACTGAAACTATAATGCTGTTTTTAGAACGCCATATATAAATTTCCTCGTTTCAACATCCGGTCGTGTATCTGTCAACGTTTTCTAGTCTTCACGTTGTGTGATGTCTTTGCTACGGGACTCAAATATAAGTTCTTAATTACATGGAAAACAGTTTAGGTCTCGACATTTTATTTTCTGTCAATAATAAATTTTCACCAGCAAGAACAAGGAATACACAAAATATTTAAAAGCTTTGAACTAGATTGATGTAGAGACATTTGGAAAACCGTTCAAAAAACATGGTGCTCACACTAGGCGAGGCTCGTATCGTGAGCACCAAAACCTATTCAATGTCTTGGTTAGAGATATCGTTTTAAAGGTATGTTTAATTAATGAATTAACGCAGAAGTATAACACTTCCACTTCACGCAGTGCTTTCTGTGAGGACACACTCACTCAGTAAGTAAGGGCAGTGTTTTAAAAAAAAAAAAAACTACTTCCCCGACGGACCAGCCCATTCGTGCAGCAGTGAAAACTGTTGCATGGCTACCACAGTTAACCGCTAATTGGACGTATGTAGATTGCTACTTTACTTTCTTTGCTCCAAATAAATAATTTTCTCTAAAGAACTTAGCAGTAAAAATCTTCGGACTTCGTTTTAACAATATAGCCATAACATAAATCACTTCGCACTACCGGAAGGATTCAGATGATTCTCCCTGATTGTGAACAAAGTAAATGGGCCAATTTAGTCAAACAGATCGCTTAGAATGTGAGAGTTCCAAGTAACAACATGTTGTACATTAAGTTTTTATTAATTGTAAAAATTATCGTGGCACGAACGGAACTCACGCCGCCGCGATAATCGACAGTCAGAAATTAATACAGCGCGAGAGTTTTATGAAAACAATTCAAAGAGGGGCACATCGGGTCGTCAGGGGAATAATACGCGGTACAAAAGGCGAGTCCGAAGTCGGATCGTTTATTTTAGACGAGCCCCCTTTAACAAGGCGCCCAAATTTGCGTGTGTTTCAAACTCAGGTTCATTTATGTGAGAAAGTGGCAAACGAGTGAGTGGTTTACTTGATGTTATGAAATCATCACCGCCCACGGACATCTTGCATATGACCATGACATGTTTAATATGACCACTAAAAGTACATTAGCTTCCTTAAAAGAAGTTAAAGATTTCTAATTGCTACAAAATAAACGGAAAGAATATAATAATTTAAAAGACACCTTGGAGTGGCCTGGATGGTTCGTATCTCAGTTCGTATTTCTAACCCACAAAATAACGTTTTACATTTATACGTGGTGTACGGTGATGAATTCACTTCCTGCCAAGTTCAAAGAGTATAATTTTAAATTATTATAGGTATGCACGGTAAAAATTTCATAGTTCAGGGAGTTACTTCTGCGAAAATAGTTTTTCATAAAGTTTATATCCATATCAAACGTCTTAGTTGAAAATGTTGCTCAATATTCTGCAGGAAATACTGTAAATCTAGTAGTATACGCAGTTAAATATGCATAGCGAGTATCAGCTGTACGAAAGCATTTTGCAATAAAGCGTTATGGAGCGCCGCGGCGACGTTCCGCTGCACCGGACACCGCGCTAATGCTCTTAGCGAACGAAACACTCGTATTTCGCGGGAAAATTAAAGGGGTTCGAAACTGTTGGCTGCGTTCAAAATATCGCTACAATTCGGGATAATAACTAAATACAATGTGAAGCTTAATTTTTGTTTTTAGGTTATGTCTCAAAAGTTTGAAAATGTTATACGTGTCTCATTATGATGATTTAATCTTTTGGCTAAATTAAATATTCTATTAAATGTCCACATTCAAAAATATTGTCCTAGCTCATTTGTCAGTCGCGTGTAAATGTAAAAGACATCCGAAGGTACGGTTTCTGTGGAGTTCGAGGAACACATCGTATCCCCGACGTAGCCACCTAGAGCGATAAAAATGTCCGGCCTCGGGAGATTTATTATAATCGAATGCTATTCGAAATTGATTTGAATAAACAGGCGTGTGATAGTAAGAGATAAAGAATCAAATTGAGACGGCGCGCGTCTCCGAATCGAAGTAACATTGCATGTATCATGTCACGATTATTCTATTAACATGTTCGATTACTAGATAACATCTACAAGTATCGTATTATGATAATGAGCGTGTATAATTTATCCAACGCAATATGCATACAATATTCAATCTTAAAGTATTATGAGGACTTTTTTAATAATTTTGTTGTATGTTAACAACTGTTACTTATTCGGCATGACAATATGGGTTATATTATTTAAACTTTTTTTATTATCAACATCTATATTGCAGTCTATTAACAGTTCACGGCTGTGCATAGATTAATTGAAAGATTTCCAAAAAGCACAGTAATGGCTTTTATTTTAACTTGTGGTTATCTAGCCACCGAAGAGAGGAGAGCAAGGTTACGTTGGACTAACGCCAAGAAAAACCTGCGCGGATAACAATCAGCTCAGATGAGGGTCATCGGATCTCAGACACTATTGCGGCCACAAATTCGCTCGGTTAAGCGAATGCTCCGTCCCAGGAGCCGTAACCACTACTCATATAATATTATAAACGCGAAAGTTTGTATGTATAGATGGATGTTTGTTACTCTTTCACGCAAATACTACTGAATGGATTTTTAGGAAACTTTACAATAATATATCAGAACAAGACATAGACTATAATTTATATTTTATGTATATCTTCTTTCTGTCTTAATGTTACACCTTCAGTCTATTCTATGTAGTCTATTCTATGTATCGCAGATGTAGTCGCGGGCAGCAGCTAGTAACTAATAAGCCGCTCTCAGTACCTCCGCGATGTTACCTCAACGATTTGAGACCACCCCGAACCACCGACCTCCTCAGGGTCGACCGCTTTAGGGGGCATTAGGGATCTGTATTACTCAAGGCCCTAAGGCCTTGTTTCTGGTAGGGATGATTGATCACAGGAATACGTGATGGCACATGCGCCTCCCTGTCTAAGAGTGCTATTTAACCCTGCTCACATCGCTTAATAGCCTCCTTCTGGGCCATCATGGGATGACAGAAGAAGGCTACAGCTCTCCGCCAAAATCAAAAACAAATTAAAAATTACAGAAACATACATTTAGTCTATCGATAGTCATTTTTTTAATCTTCCATATCATATACCATATCTCTGACACGCCTGATGGCAGAGAGAGGTTTCGCCAAACGCAACTTACGAGGATTCGCTCTGCATCCCAGAGTATGCAATTTTTATAATATTGCCATATAATATTGCCTTAAGCGGCGTCGGAACGTCGCGGCTTAAACACTTGGCCCCATTCTCAACCGAATTAGCTCAAGTATGACTTGACCTTTAAGACTACATTTTTAAACGAGCCTACATGATTCAAATTTTAATTTTTTGATGTGAAAAAATGGTGTCGTCTCCATTAGGCCTAGTTCAAAACTCAAGATCAATCGTTATCCTTTTACCGCAAAAATAACAGATAGCTCGGTAAATTTGTGATGGCTTCTCAAACATCTAAACTTAGGTAATGCCTGAAAGTAGTATATTGTAGTTGACTTATTTATATATAAATAAACATTGCACTGATTAGTATGGGAAATCTATGAAATTATTTAAAATAATAGCTTGGTTTAAAACGAAATGTGAAAAGGTATTCTTTACTAAATTTCGCATTTTGATATTTTTCAAAATTAAGAATTTTTTACTTTTAAGCTGTATCTTGAACATATGATCCGTCTTTTCAGATTTGTAGTAAGTATTATCTATATCGTTAGGTGGAATTCATATACACTATACACTACAGTCCTCAGTTGCTAAGCCGTAGGAGCAATCAATATTTATAGATAGGATTTCAGCGTATCAGTCCACATAAGTCTGTCGCTTATTTTCCATTAAGTTCCTAGTTGCGCTGTTCATGCCATTATGCGCTTTTTGATGACCTCATTGTTATAACGAACGCCAAACGATAACTTAAAATGGGCCGTGAACAATCCTGGCACTTTCCAGGCGATAACAATGGCTACAGTATTAAATCTTCTTTCGTTTTTCAGTGATTCAGAATTCCCAAACAAACCGATACAGTCATGGGTTAAAAATGCCGTGTCGAACATCACGTTCGCACATCCCACTAAACCTGGGAAAGTTTATAACACGACCCGTGTTATAAACTTTCCCAGGCTAAGCGGGATGTATCTATAAAATAATAAAGTAAAAATGAAACGGGGATTAAATTAAACTATAGACATAATAAATCTATAATGTTTTACGTACGAAATAAAACAAAGATTTTATACGAGCTTCTTACGTATTCCTTAATATTTACGTAAAACTTTTATTAAAGCTTTCTATTTTACGGCATTTAATTTTTGTTTTAATGAACTAGCGAGCTCTTCCCAATACTCATTCCGTTCTTTGACCTTAGATGATAATGATCATGATTGTCCAACCTTTGTATCGGTTAATTGAAGAATAATAAATTCAATAAATTCAAATTACAAACAGTACAAAATTCGAAATATATAACTTTTGACTGAAACAGTTTGAATTTTATATTACAGAAACTAACATTAAAACTCAAGAAAGGAAAATAATTACACTAACAAAAATTTTATGGTGTTAATGTTGCATAGAAATATCGAATTCCATTAGATTTGTATCGTCTTCATTTAAAATTAAACTCTAGTTAAGAAATACGTTAAAAAAGCTAATACGCGGCATTCAATAGCTGTTCTCATGCCTACCGTCCCAGTATCAGAATGCGTCGTATCGTTAAAATTTTACTGGCCATTTCGCATCTTATAGCCATGAAAATCTTATCTACATCTCTTTGTGAGTCAACAGGCGCCCAGCGTTTTATTTTCACAAGTGCTTGCTTTATTGTCAATATCACAGATAAATAAGGGCTTTCGTCGCAATTAAAATTTATGGTTTTGATTTTCCTTTATTCCCTATTCAGACTTTATCTTCTACTTCATTAGAATAAAATTACAATATATAAAACCTTAACACGTCTACTGCTTCAATATTCCCCTACTGTTTAAGGTTATTTATATATAAGCATAATTAGAAATTTGTTATCAAATATAATTTATGATAGTAAAGTTTTTAATGAAAAATGTCATTCTATATTATTTTGTTAGCGCGCCGATATCTCTCACGATATTTTGACACTGAGCTTTGAACTCCAATATTAATTCCCTAAACTATAAGATCGTTAATGCAGAACCTTGTACAGTTTAAAACAGGCTCAGCACTTAGCAAAACATTTCTACATGACAGACGGTTCGTTGTAGTCGGATGATGAAACCACTTTGTTAAAAGGGGGCAACGCATCTGTAACCCTACGGGTATTGCAAAAATCAAGGGGCGACGGTTATCGCTTAACATCAGGTGAACCGCCAGCTCGCTTGCCAACCTTCTCGCGTTAAAAATCAACAGCTAACGTTTCTTTTGTTCCGACAGATCTACACCGACTGGGCGAATCACTACCTGGAGCGTGCGCGTTCCAGGAGGCGCGCTGGGGCCTCGGGAGGGGGCCTGGCGCGGGATTGCGCTGACGGACTCCTCCTCGCGGACGTGCTAGAAGGGGTGACGGGCCAGAAGGTACCGCGTGCGCACCGTAAACCGCGCAACCCGCAGCAAATGGTATGTACTGTATTGTCACAGCGAACCTTATTAAAAATTCTGACAGACACATACAATGTCATGATGTCTTTTGTGTTGTCACGGTAAAACCGGTTAAAGTTCTTATAGTTATACGATGTCACAATCACTCGTCAAAATTAGCCGCACAGGCCGAACTCGACAAAGGGAAATCCATAACGGTGTAATCCTAGGTACATGTGTAATGATGAGACTATGAATCTTATCCTTTAAACGAGCAATCCTTGTATATATATATAATATAACCGGAATCTCGGAAACGGCTCCAGAGATTTTCATGAAATTTAGTATGTGCGTAGATTCGGGGGCGAAAAATCGATCTGACTAGGTTTCATTTTTAGAAAATGTCGTTTTATCCCTGTTTTCAGGGAATGAAAAATATAATTCGAATATGACGGTAAATTTCGCCGCAAGAGAAAATGTCATAATAGCTCGGCTGGTAATCGGGCGGCCCCAAAACAGACGGCCGTGGTTCGCGTCACGATCATTTACACATTTATTGTTTTACTTTTTTTTCGATTCCATATCATTGCTTTCTTTATTTTTAATTTTTTTGTCGATTTGTTACTTTGTTATTTTTTTTCCCTTTTTTTTTAAAGTTCTTTCTTTTGTGAAAAACATCAGTTCAGTAATTCACTTTTGACCAAAGTTTGATTTTATAAAGATATTATAAGTAAATACTTGCGTACAGGGTCGTGTTGGATATATTTGCGTTTTCTTTAGGAGGGTTGCTTATTATTTTGACAGATTTATTGCGTTATATATTTAATACAGATTTTCTGAGATTTTACTAGAACAACGTTATATATGAACGTGTAATTATATAAACTTATGACCCGTCACTTTTTGCCATTTTCTGTAGGAAAACGTCATTATTACACATGAAACCTCTTATATATTACATACCTAATATATAAGAAAACTTTAACCAAAATAAAAAAAAATATATAATTTGAACAATTCTAAATTTGCAGATGTCACGTTGTTTTACGCAGGGTGCGAAATGCTCCAAAGCATTCGAAACTTCGGGAACTTTTATTTAAAATAAGCGCTGTGAATATGTAAAAATAGCTTAATTCCATAATGCATAATAAATATATTTTCATTTAAAAATAAGTCTTAATAAGAAGCAGCCGCTCTCGTATATTTATCGCCAAAATTGCCTATCATTCACTTTTATCGACGTATGGTGCAAGTGTTGTGTTAATACCCATTACATTACCTAAAACAATATAATCCATCTTCTGTGCGTCAAAACAAAACCATACAAATATAAGAAACATTTTGTTTATTATTAAACTCTACCAAAAATGAATGCGGCTTAGGAATATTTTGTTAGCTCAAAATATACTATCGAATCACAAATCATTTGGGCAGGTACACATGCTGCATACACGGCGGCGGCCGAGCGCCGTATTTGGCCGTACGTACGGCCAAGAAAGTTATTTATACCCTTCATTAAATTGGTCATGTGATAACGACCCCAAAACATATGGCACAAAGTGCATATTCGTGTACACGATGTAGATCCCTGTCAAACAATCTGTGTCAACGTGGCTACGTTTATGGGATAGGTAGCCCACAAACCCGGATCCTACGGTACAAACTTCATTTCCGGTATATTGATTGCGATAACTAGATAAAAGTGAACGTAATTTAAGCGAACTTTTATAAGAAATCAGTTTTACTTTTCGTTAATTTATCTTTTAGGGTGCGATTTTTCATCAGTTTTCTCGACATTGCTCACAAGTTTATTGTTAAATTCTATTTCTGGCATACTCTGAGGCCCATTTTAATGAAAAAAGGTGTTCCTTAGCCAAGGATGTCAACGTCTCGTGGTTGCAAGTTCAAATCGTGTTAATCGCCGTTATTGTAGATTATCGTAATGTACGAACCAATCTTAATCTGCTGCCACTAAGTGTTGCGCCTATTAGGTTATGCGGACTAATATAAATATCATCAAATTAAATAATTAAACATCATTAATAAAAGTAACATATCCTATTCGGCATCTGGTCTTAGACAACTTGAAATAACTTAGGCAATAGGCATATAATAAATAATATAAATCCTTCTTTTCTTGTCTAGCAAATTCATAAGGATACTTTGTAGTACTAATTATTTTCTTATTTATTCATATATATATATATATATATAATAGCCAATCAGTTTAGAACTAATCGAATCTTTCCATTGGAGATTAAGGCGCTGTATGCAGTAAAAATAGGTTTTTCAAAAAATTTTTTAACAAAATCATTTTATAGAAGCAAAAAAAATAACTGTTAATCAAAACATATTCTCGATATATTTTCTCGATAGAAAAAAATCACGAACCTACCTCTAAACGTGACATTCAAATAAAAAAATAGATATAATAAATGAACAAATCTTAATGAAATTAATATCAGTGGTATAGAATATATTAATAAAAAGGACTGTTGTCTTAATTTGTTGATTGAAGTAATATTTGTAAATATTAATTTAATTCATTAAAATTATTATATTCGAACGCGATGGCCAAAACACCGCGCCACGGCGGCGTTGTTTCGGTTCTCTTCCAACTCCACACGTTGAACAGAGAGCACTGAGGCGCTTTGCTAGATGGATCTATGCCGCTCATCGCCCGCTCACCGTTACGAAATATGTTTCGTATTTATTTATTATTGAGAGTTTTAATTTTATTAGACCTTCGAAAACACGAAACTAAAAAAATATATATTCATATATTTCGTATTTATAAATTATTTGTATGTATTAACAGTTATTAAATAATTTATTTAAAGCATAATTTCATAGTCTTACCTCGAGATTGATTGGTCTATCAGTCCTATACATACAGTGTAGGACCATCATCATTCTTTATGGATTGGGTTCAAATCCCAAAATTTTTTGTTGTACTTATTGTTGATTTTCTTATTTGGAAGTATTTCTTAATTACCATTTAATTATTGTTGATTTTATTATTTTCATAAATACTTACAACGAAATATATATTATAGTATTTGTTCATAGTTGAAACAGTTGGAGAACAATCTATCAGTAAATAAACTAATTTTTAGTATTAAAAATTTTAACGTCATCTATTTTTTTATTTATTTATGTAATTGTTCACACTAAAATGGAAATTTATCTTATACACGAAAAATAATTATTTTATAATTTTTTTTATAATTTGTTTATTTCCCAAATTGAGCCATTTTATAAAATAAAAACAAAATAATTAGTTGGCTAACAATTAATTTGTTTATTTAAGTGAAAATACTATAAAAAATACAACTCCACTCGATGAATAGTTTGAACTTGGGACTTCAGCAATAGTTTACCGTTGTGTATGACGCTCGGACCAACAGGCTACGCGAGGACTGTGCAAAGTGACAAAATTTAGATTCTGGTTATAATTGCTGTCGTTTATCGATATAAATAAGGATTTTATCGATAGTTTTTTAAATTTAATTTTAGCTGAAAAAGTAATATAGCATAGTAAGTCTTGAACATTTAAAGGATAAATTAAAATTCCTAATATATAAAAAGGGTATTCGGTATTTGTGCAATAAAATATCATATAAAAAATCCACTACTCTATTGTTGCTAACTGACGCATCAGCGCCACCTATCGGCCAGAGCAGGATGACTTCTGTCTGGCCAGCTGGTTTTCTGCAGAGTATTACGTCAAAGTTTAACATGGTCATTATTGTCTAATGTCGATATCATACCAAAATGTTATATACTTTGCGGGCAATAAACACATTTGTAACCTAGTGTTGGGTTACCGCGGTGAAGAGGTCAAGCGTACGTAACGACCACATCCGTTACGGGGTTACGTTATACGCGCGGAAGCGATATATCGCCTAGTTCGGTTTTAAACTAGACTTTATGTAACTATTATAGAAAAAAATTATGGGGGAGAGTTTCCTGTTTCCTTGTTATTGGTTTAAAACAATTTTATGTCTCAGTACGTAGGCAAAGCTTAATTAAGGTCTTGTGCAATAAGAATGAAGAAAGTAAAAGATAGATCTGAAGCTATATTGAACAATGCAATTTATAAATATTCTCTTGCAACTAACAAGTACGTATCGATAATCTATTCAGACTATCAAGTAATCTTAAGATGAAAGAATCTACTAAATACTTTCTATTAAATGCTGAATGTGAACTTTTTAAAAGATTCAAAAAGGTTAAGTAATTGGTTAAATGTATATGCTCCCAATAAGTCTGAAGCATTATAGCAAAAATACGGAGTGGTGTAATGGAAACTTTTAATTCCAGTACGAACTAGTTTTAGATAGCGATTTCTTTGAACAGATGAATTGAAAAGGATAAATTTATTACGGGAAGAAATCAATATTACTGCTGATACAAAAAGCGACATTGCATGCATCCGTCTGTTCCTGCAAGTGTTTCTACTATGACATCTGGTGTTACTTTTGTTTGAATGGTTCGTCCAAGGTAGTATCACAGCCGCAGATAAAACCGAAAAGAACTTGAAGCATTTTTACCTTAGTATTAAGTCTAGTGAGTGAGGTAACCGGGGCCCTATCATATAATTTGCATATTTATTGTCTACAATTACAACAACATGGCTGTTATATATTAAAAAAACAATTGCTTTAATTAATTTAAATTGAATAATCTATTTCAGTCAATTTGAAATCAATTTAAAACTACGTCATATGTACCATTCAACTTTTTTTTAAAATGATAAATGTTATAAGCAACTAGGAAATCTGACCGATATTTCTAGGCTTCTTTTGAGAAAAACATAAAGAATTTCTTATAAACATAAAATTTTTCCTTAATTTTTAGTAAAAATGACCTGCATAACTAAGTCGAAAGCATGTAGGGTTTTGCTACTAATCATAATGAGAGACTAACTTAGATGCCCTCTGTTAGTACACAAACATATGGCCAAGGGCTCGGTAATTTTGTCACGCCTGCTTCGATGTTCCCGTTTTACATTTAAAAAAAAAACTTTGCAACTGCATTTTTAATGCAGTTTTTAATTTATGTTGCCATCGTTTTTTTATCACTTACTTAACTTTTTTAACTGACACATCAGACAGAACAAATAATGAATATCAGATTTCCTTCCTCTCTTCTATATTTAAATTGCTATGTAGAAAATTAAAGAAACTTCGTTTTCAACTCTACTATTTCTAATTATTAACTAGCATCAAACATTGAGCCATTTATGATATTGTAGACATCCCCCGATTCTCCGTACCGTGTAAGTGTGCGGGACAGTTCTAAATTTGGAAAATTACTGCGTTTGATTTGGATTACGACAGTGGCGAATGACGGCAGTTGTGGCAATAACGCCGCCCGTTCGCGGCACAAAGGCGGACGGTGGGCTTCGGATGTGTGTCATTTAATTTTAACAAACCGTTCCCGTCGACGCCGCTGCACTGCTTTTACTGAGTCTCGAATAGTTTTACTAGTTACGTTAATGTTCTATAAATAATTAATACACCCGAAAATTCGACTTTCTTTTTATCATTGGCGCTAACTCGCATAATTTTTATATAAGAAGTACTACGAGTTTTATTCTTTCCTATGTGTCGATCCGACCGAGGTTGGATAAGATTAGATGGGGACGACGGGGATGAATAATTTATTCACTATTTAAAATTTACTTTTGTCTACTATTAAAAAAGGATCCCGTACATATGTAACCCTATCATTTTCATCACAGCCTTTAACGATTAATTTACATAATATACTTTTGTTGGCAATAAAAGAAGTATCATAAACTGGTATCTTCTTCAGAACACTGTAAATCAGCTTACGTATTTGTGCCTTTGTCGTTCAATCTTCATCATTATTTCTACGGGACTGCAGCGGCAAATTATTCCTTTTTCAGCACTTCGATGATCGAATAAAGCATCATCAAAATTCATTATTACTTTATAATTGTTTCCCACGCCTCTTCAAAGATGTCCAGAGATTTAAATAAGACAAAAAAAAATTGAAAGCTTGTTGAAGACACCTCATGAAAACTTTCTTCGTTTAAACGCAACTTCGTATTTTGCGAGTGTCAAACGTAATTGTAGTCTCTCGCGAGACATTTAAATATTGCATGTAATAACACACCGCACGGGTCAATACATACTGTTTACACTGCCCGCAATAACAGGAAAGGGAACCGCGATTAGGCGTTCGACACCCAATTCGAACCAGTTAACAATAATCCTAGTACATATTAATTTATGGCTAGGTGCCACATTCTCGGCGCCCGCTTGTGTGTTTATCGGAAGTATTGTTTGAGCAAGTGTTGAAGGAAACGTTGCGGCCCGCGAACCTTGTAAATCTACGGGCCCAGAGCGGCGAGTTCATTATACTCGTTCGATTTAACTATTGATTGTTCCTGAAAATGGCTCGCGCTGCCGGAACCGGCTTGTGAATTAATCCGTTATCAAACTGAACTATTTCAAAGTTCGCTATTGTATAAGCAACCGGTTAAAAGTTATCGGTAGCTTATTTTCGTTAAGTAAGCTGGGTACTGGTAAATTTTGTTGTTATTATAAGTA